GCCGCTAGGTGTCACGTGGTTCCAGACCCTTTCCTTTGATTGGGTGACCCTCCCTCACCCACACCCTTTCCTCTTTTCTACATTTTAACGATAACCTTTACTTTGCGACCTCAGTCGTCTGTGTGTGGGATTTAACAAAAAACCCAGGAAGATGAAACAAAAAATGGGATGAATTCAAGAAGAAAGAAGAACAAAGACAGTTATAAGACAGAGAAGATGGTGTTATATGGGACACATCCTGGGAAGAAACCAGCAAAGAATCACAATATAGGCACTAAAGTGGGAAACAACGGAAGTTAGGAATCCAACAGAAACTCTAAAACAAATGTTGGCACTTTAATTTTATACGACCCCGTCTCGTCAGATTCAAGATTTCGTAGGGAATTACTAGGTATTTCCCCGGATTGTACTATTACAGGGGGTTAAGGTTAGGGCTAGTGTAAAATAAATAGCGACTACTACTAACCCTTATCCTAACCCTCCACCCCCCCCCCCCCATACTATGGGATATTCTAGGGATTTCCCTACCAAATCTCGAAGCCGACGAGATGAGGTCGTCTAAAATTGAAATACCTGAGCGTTTAATGAAAGAAGCCAGTGGTGCTGGGCTGGATATCATCCATAATATCGATTGGATTGCACAGGACAGAATGCAAGAATGGCTACAAAAATACTAATACACTATGATGTTTCACTCATTATTAAGTTAGTTGCGCATCCTTTACAGGACGCTGCAGAACCAACCCCAGCTTTTTTTTTTTTTTTTTTTGGTGTTGTGGTTTTTCTAGGCAGGTTTACCTGGAGTAGTTTGCCACTGATTTCTGGACGGTCAGCTGCTCAATACCACTGTCGAAACCAATGCAAGGTGCAAGGCTCGCAGCTGGGATCGAACCCGGCAGCCCGGCATTATGAAGCGCGTTCGCAACGCCAAGGACGCCGAGCATTAATTATTATTTGTATAAAATAGAAGGAATGAAATGGGCTGGCCTAATTGCTTGCCAATGTTGAGGTTAATGGACAGAACTAAACAAATTCCAACGGATTTATAAACAGTGTGAGAAAACCGGATAATAGTGCAACTTGGATGTTCTTTCATTGGGACAGTCCGGAAAGATAAACAGAGACTGAAGACAGACAGAATTATAGATGGATAATGTAGAGCACACCTGCAGGGGGCTTGGGTGGGGGGATGAGAGATGTGGTGACCAAATAGGAGAAAAAGTGGTAGTAGTAATAGTAGTTAAGTTAGCAGCAGCAGCAGTAGTAGTAGCAGCAGTAGTAGAAGTAGTAGTAGTAGTAGTAGCAGCAGCAGTAGTAGTAGTAGTAGTAGTAGTAGAAGTAGTAGTAGCAATAGCAGCAGCAGTAGTAGTAGTAGTAGTAGTAGTAGTAGTAGTAGTAGTAGTAGTAGTAGTAGTAGTAGTAGTAGTAGTAGTCGTAGTAGTAGTAGAAGAAGTAGTAGTAGTAGTAGTAGTAGTACTAGTAGTAGAAGTAATGATTGCGACAGTATTAGCTGTATTACAGTTGTAGTAGGAAGTTGTAGTAAACAGAGAACACGTGGTTGACAGTTAACTTGTTGTCCTGTCTCTTGTCACCTTCATCACAATTCCACCTGAAAACTTGGTTTAGAATGAAGTATTACCTGATTTTACAAGGAATAGTTGGACATTTTTATGACATATCTTTGTTGCTTCCGTCTTCCTCACAGTCTTGACATGATTTGCATCACAACAACTACCTGTGGACAAGAACGGAGTTGGATTCAAGCTGGGAGCACCCCCGCCATTTTGTTTTCTCAGTAGCGAGGACGTGCTTGTGACGTCACAGAGTCACTTGTGACGTCTAAAGAGACCTTGCATTTTTATGTTTAGTGCTTTTTGGTGCGCGTTGTTTTGGGAAAATTCCCACCATCGAATGAGAGATTGTTTAACTTCTGACGTTAATCAGATACCGTGTCCATAATGAAGGTTGAAAGCAATCATCATCATCATCATAATCAGGTGCCTTGCCGACTGGCGTGGGCGATCATGCCTCTCCATAATCCACGATCTCCTGCAGCATGTATCAGTTCGTGTGCCGACACACCTCCATGTCATGCAACAAGACTGTCAAGAATCTTCTCTCGTTGTCGTCTTCTATCCCTCCTTCCACAGATCTTCCCAGTGGTCACAACGTGTTCTATTTTCCCTCTTCTCATAACATGGCCGAAAAAATGATGACTGTCTCATTCTGATGTCTGTGATAAGTTGTCTTCGGGCTCCCGCCTCTTTCAAAACCTCTTGGTTGCTCTTTTTGGCTGTCCGTTAAAACTGAATGTATTTCTCATAATTATTCTCAGTAAAATCTTAGTCATGTGACTAAGAGGTAGTTTCCCCTTGCCTTCCGCCGGTTTGTGTATGGTTTGACTCTAATAGCCTTTGTCTAAAGAGACTTACCCTGCAAGGCAGCGGGGGGAGGGGGGGGGGAGGTTATGGCGCCTCTTACCCGCCGATGGCCATGTCGTAGAGTTTTGATGTATTTTATAGAGTTAGCTGTCCCACCAACTAACTCGCCTCCTCTCAATGACCATCACCTGTTTTGGTCCACGGCCACTTATTCAATATATTCGTGGCTAACCTCTTAAAAGCAATAGATGCTTAAAACTCTCTTTAGTTACGGCTGCATATTATCTGAGACTGTTGGTCTTCCTACTCTTTGTGTTATTATCACCTCTTATTGCTACCAATCTCTTGCTCACATACCTTTATCTTTTCCCTCCAATATGGCTTTATAAAATTGTTATGACTTCTGATGTGTCCAAACTATTATTAAATGCATTCAGTATGTGTTCATTTCTTCAGGAATGTACTTGATAGATCTAGAAAGCCAGTAGTAAATGGTAACGTCCCAGGCCTCGAAATTAGAACTTCCCACGTCTCGAAATGATAACTTTCCACGTCTCGAAATGATAACTTTCCACGCCTCGAAATGATAACTTTCCACGTCTCGAAATGATAACTTTCCACGCCTCGAAATGATAACTTTCCACGCCTCGAAATGATAACTTTCTACGCCTCGAAATGATAACTTTCCACGCCTCGAAATGATAACTTTCCACGCCTCGAAATGATAACTTTCTACGCCTCGAAATAATAACTTCCCATGCCTTGAAATGATGACTTCCCACGCCTCGAAAGAATAACTTCCCACGTCTCGAAATGATAACTTTCCACGTCTATTCGCCATATTCTATGATATTTGCATGTTATCGGCATGCATACGTGATTCTATCTGGAACCACTTTGAGTGGCATCAGAACTTATATCCGACTTGTATAGAACTCTAATCACATTTGTGCATGGCATGTTGGTTCTGCATGATTAGACATCCAACATCTGATTCGTGACATTTAACGTCAAGATGATGTAATCATCTGTACCTAAATGTAAAAAGGTAAAGTCGGTAGATGTGAACCAGCGTCATTGCAGACGGTTATAAACCATAAGTGTTCTGCCACCAGTACAGACAGCTGATAAGAAACTGTCCGCCTGTGTCGCCGTCCGCACTCAACTCTGTAGCTACAGCGACGTTCCTCCATTTACCCAAGGTGGGCTGCAGCGAGTCGCAGCTAGATTTGAAAGCGAGCCTCCTATTGACTGCGCTAACGCAACGCTTGCTACACATAAACAGCCCCAGACAGCTGCGCGGCAAGGTCGAGCAGTTTATTACTAAGACTAAAATACAAATATAGAAAGGTAAAAAATATGTCCATGACATCTTTAAAGAAGTTTCCCCTAAGATAACATCTAGGAGAATAATCAATGATTGCACGACAAGGAAACAAAAATCCACCAGTTTAATGACACAATGTTAGTAAGACAGCCTTATTATTTATAGTATAATTTCTATTAATCACATCCCAAATCAAAGCAAAATGTGAAACAATACAAATTATATTTTATTCATATAAATAATTATAAGATGCTGCTGCTGAAGATGAGGACGGAGCATGCATGGAAATGCCCCAATTGCTGTGATGTCAATTCTTGACTCAACTCAACTCAGCTTTTACGACATGCTTGTAGAGAGACAGGGGGTCTGTTCTTGTTTTGCCAACAAGTGGGTGCCGAAACTCATACGGGGAACGTTGGTAATCGCAGATTTCCACAATTTCCGTCTTGTGTTATGCTTGAATAACACTCCCCCCCCCCCCACCACCACCACCCCCAGTTTTGTTTGCCCCATATATCCAAGTTTTGTTTCTTTTAATTCGAAACTAAAGGTGTCGATCATCATATTAGAACCTTTTAGCCACGCCTTCGTGCGTATTGGGCATAGAGGGTTAGACCTATAGTTTATAGATCAATCGGTACTTGGTAGGTCAGCATTACACGGGGAGCCTTTGCTTCCTAGAATTACCTGGTACCTACTCTAGACTAGGTCGACCTCGGAGCTAAGGTCATTTCTTTAACAAAAAGTCCGGCTCTATCAGGATCCAAACCCATGACCCCAGACCGATACCGACCTCAGTGTGCTCTAAAAATGTAGCGGTACTCGCCATAGTGTTTATTATAGTTGCTCTGAAAAAGTGATTCTGAAAAAGTGCAGGTACTGCGTACCGTTGCCTACCGAAAAAAGAAACTACACAGCTGATACCACCAATTCCAGAGATGTTTTATCACACAAGTACAAGTAAGACGTTTAACACGCCCAGCTCGCTTGCTCAGTTGGTTAAACCTGACTGCGGGGCAACCGGGCGAAGAACTTGTGGTCCGGGTTCACGCCCGGGGTAGGCAGAAAAGCCACATTTCTTCCAGATTTACGGTATCTGTCACTGAATCAAGCTCGAAGGGTTGCGATATCCATAGTACCGAGCCAAAGGATTTTTACAACTCATGGTTTCTGGATTTATGTTTAAAAAAAAAAAAAAAGACGTTTAATAATAAAATAAAACGGCGAATGGAAATTTCAGGAGCGGTGGTGATTTGACGTTTTTGATCCATCACTGCGGGATAACAAACAAGATGGCGTTAGCAAGTGTCTGTGGCTTTCAACTGGGGAATGAGAATTTTGGATTAAATTCTCAAGGTCTGATGGGCGCTCCGTCGTTGCAGGATGCTCTATACATGTCAGAGCATTTCACAGTACCGTTTGGGGCAGAAGTAAGTGCTATTTGGGGTTAAAATGCAAACCGGTCATATAATTTAGTGAAAGTACATATTTTCGATAACGTTCTTTGGTAGTTTTCCAGTCTTCGAAGCAATTAGTAATTAGCCAACTGTGTTATTTGTATGCTTAGTAAGTTAGTAGTTCGAGAGTAAACCCTGAGGAAAAATCCGGAGCTGGAATCCCTAAGGCGGTTTAGCATTGTATACAGTGCTATTGTGCTATTCCGGCAACAATTCCTTTAACGTCCTGTTTTTGCCTTTCCCTTGGTATCACCGGCGACGTAGAGAGGGGGTACTTGCTGCCTGGGCAACAGTCTGTACTCTAGCCACTTTAGTCAAATTTTCAAAATCATTTTTTCCTTATAAAACCAGTACAGCTGCATACATATTGAAAAGCTCTTTCCAACGGTACCTCTTTCATGCCTGTATGTCAATTCTAAGCCAAGTTATTGAAGTTTTTGTGGAAAAAATGAACAAAGAAGAAAAAATAAAAGTGAGATAAAACTTGTCGCCTTAAAATCGTAAGTCTTAGAGGAGTGTTTAAAAAGTGCTTTTACTTAAAAAGTATTTAAAAAAGACCCTAGAAACCATATATTTTTGGATTCGGGACAACAATCTCTAACTGAATAAAGATGAAATTTTTAGTAGTTACGTAATATCAACTAATAATTGACTAATAATTATTCAAAATGGCCGCCATTTATCATAATCATTACTCAATATGTTCTTATAAACTTTATAACGGTCTTTACATTTTTTTTTCCTTGGTACGTTTATTGGAAAAAGAAAAAAAAGCTTTAAATGTGCTAAAGACATAAGCACATGTCAAGCTCAAATTAGAACTAGGTCGCTTATTGAATATTTATATTAATTAATTAATTTAAAAATTTTTTTTTTTTTTTTTTTCACAATCACCATCAAATTTCGGAACAGATGAATTTTTTTTCCCTTAGTCCTGGTGATGTATCATGTGCTTCTCCCCTCCCCCTTATTTTATGTTATTTTGGCCACTAATTATTAACTAAAAATAACCATTGTCACTAAGTAAGCGAAACCATCTTTACAAATCTGAAGTACACTGACATTTTCCCCCTTGACTCACTCTGAATAATCCAGTCATCACAAATGAACAAACAATTTGTGTGGTTTATTTCAACATTTGATTATTTTTATTTATAAAGCATACTGTCAAAGTGCCTTCCACGTCCACATGGGGGTTCTTTTACCTCTACCTTTGACAGCAATTTTTGACTGTCAGGACAAGTGAGTGCCCTGCTCTGCTTAAGTGCAGAGTTGTCCACTTATTCCGGTGGATACTCGGTCCCCAGAGCTGTGTTTGCCCATCCTCTACCGCGCAGAACTGCAGTTGGGATTTTCCCTTCACCGAGTTATGAGACCATAAAGGCATTTCCCAAAACTCTCCGGTACTTTAGAAAGATTTCATATCCCAGCATAAGGATTACATCATTTGCTTCTGCTATCCAATGCCAATCTAAACACACAAAAAAAAAAAAAAGTAATTAACATACACATATAATAGTAGACAATTTAAAAAAATGCACTTAGCAAAACAGATTTGAAAAAAAAAGATTACCATTGTCAGTATTGTGTATGTGTTGTGACAGCTAAGATATGCAATCGTCAAAAGCCAATAATTTCATGTTTTTTTTTTTCAAACAAATCCTGCATGTATCCACATTCCTTTCTGGTTGGAGTGCCCACAAAGCAACTCACACGTCTGTCTGTAATGATCAAGTTTTCACTGGGTTTACATTGTTTACCTTGGCTCTTAAAGAAGGAATGTAACTATTAGCACATGATTAAGTGGGGTTTTCAGAAAATAGTTCAATTAAAATTGCAAAATATACACCTGAAAAAAGAGGGTTTGAAATCTATTCACAGCTGATATATGTTCATACGTCCCAGATGGTATGTAATGATTATTATAAAGTATTACATTTTGTTTAAACAATTAAACATGTCGTTATAGCTACTCACCATGTCCATTAGTCTGTGTTTGACTGCCGACGAAAGCTGCTGTCGATTGGGCTGACAAGCGAGCGTGATGATGACTTGCACTCTTAGAAGCCTTTATCTTTACTGAGCGTCAACTAAAATAAAACTTTGAGACAGCTTTATAATAAAATTACAATTCTGATATAAATTTGTATGTTCCAAAAATAAGGTTTTGATTATTTTAAAAATATTCTATGATTTCTAAATCGGTTTTCTTTTTTAAAGTACTTATGTTTTATTTTTAATCTTCATAAAATGCCAGTTCTTTTGTGGCAAAGTCTACCAGAAATTCTGTCATAGTCATCTTGAAGGTGGCATCTGTTGGTCCTTCATCTTCCTTCCAGTAATACAGCTCTATTACTGTCTTCAGGCTGTCTTTTTCTTTCACGCTCTTTACCATTTCAATATAGACAGTGTCTACTCCTTCTTCATACCAGACGTGTCGCAGTAACACACCTGGCAGTGCATTAGCGTTGTTGAGAATATTTTTCAACTTCTCCTTTGTGTTCAACTCTACATCTTTAAATAGCTCTAGGTCGAGAAACTGACAACACTGACTCTGTACGCACAAAGTCTGATAATCGTTTTTCATGTACATCTCTTTGTGTCTTGTCTAACCTCTGGACATCTTTCTGCTGTCTTTTCTTCTGTTGCTCAGCTTGATGCTGCCTCACTTTAGACCCATAACGGATTGCAAAACGGACCAAAAAGTTTTGGTAGTCGTCATCAAATGACTGTAGCCAGTGCAAAGTTTTGTTTTGCACAGCCTTTATTTTAGCATCAATAAATCCTATGGAGGCATTTGGGGCTCTTTGCAAAGCTCTATCCAACATTGCCATAATTCTTTCAGCCTCCATATTATGAACCGGGGCGGAAGATGTCCTTGCTATCATTTCTTCAGATGGATTAGACAAGGCCCCTGCAAAATATGGCTTAAACTGCTGTTGCAATGTTTTAATAAACGCAGATGATACATTTTTTGCTACTATACTGTAATCTTTAGTAGAATGGTGAAGCTTGGTTAACTCAGACTCCTCCATGTCCCTGTCAAACGCATCAGTTACAGCATGGATCAAGTATTCCGGAGTCTTCTCCACTGACGTGAGATGGCCAAGACATGATGTTATCTCTTTTACCTGGTTGAAAAGAGTGATAAAGAAATATTGTTAAAAAAATTTTTTTATAACAATACACATCTACACTAGTACCCTAATAAACCTGTAAAATAAGCAAATCATATGAAAACACTAGGACAGAGGGAAAGATTGCTGAATCAAGACAAAAACTGAAGCAAGACAAACAAATTGTATCATCCAACTAGCCCCCAGCGAGGGGCCGACAAAAAAAATTAACCACAAGCAAATTCTTACTGCTTCGAAGTGTCCTCTTCCATCCTCCTTTGAGTAAAATATCTGCATCCATGGTCCTGTGAGGAAGCGGGAGTACATGCCCATTACTTGCAAGTGTAGAAGGACACTCGGATCAGTCAGGCCTTCATAAATTTTTGCGCACACAAACTTTCCCAGCCTGCATTTTACAAACTCTGTCAGCTGGACTCGATGCAGGTATATCACCGCTGCCATACTGAACATGACATTCAAACGGTTCCCAACATAGCGTTTGAAGATACCGGGATTGATATTCTTCGTCTTCAAAAAGGCTGTGAATGCAGCTGGATCACCAGACCCATCTTTGTACCTGGGAAAAAAAATTAAAAACGTCTTGTTATGTGCATGATTATGTGATTTACTGCAGGCATTAAAATGAAAATTACATTATTTTTAGTATGATTTCCAGATTATCACTACGCTCCATATATGATGATATATCTACCTGTTGTCAAACTGCCAAATACATGTATGTTGAATAATCTGCCACAGACATGAAAAAAAATGATATAAAATAGATGTCATGAGACAGGACTTGCTACACAATGATAAAAACTGACTAAACATTACCTCAGTTTGGATACTTGATGAATCAGTGTTGCGGCCCGGCAGCCCAAGGAGGATTTCTGACCATCTTGGTCTGTCTTAGTATCCAGCTTACGCAGAGCTTCACGAGCTGATCTGGCAAGGCCGTCTAATGGGTGCACCATACATTTTAAATCGGCCACGTCTCCGTCTCCACAGTCCTCTTTGAGTCGTTCAGATACTCGGTGGTTTGCAGCAGCTCTGTCGCTCATGGTGCTGTGCAGTTTGCTTTTCACTTCTTCCAGGATGGCTGTTGCGGGTAACTGGAAGGCGGCACAGTAGATCTCGCAGACATCAGATAAGGCTTCCATTGCATGCTGGTACAGCTCCTCTGCTGATGAACCTGAAATGGGTCTAATATTGAGAGTTAATGATTGCCTACCTAGTATTGTTTTGAGGGACACATGAACTTCGTTATAATGTATACCTGCCTTTGTTGTGGAATCCCAGGCTAATGTGATGAGATCGCACTCGTGCAGCATCTGGCCAGCTTGAATGCTAGCAAGCACCCCGAGTTCGTAAGCCATCTGTGCTATTGTAGTCACACATGGAATCTGAGAAAAAACTTTACCAAAAATTATCCCTGCAACAGAAGACAACAAACGAGAAATATTCCCAACACTAACATTACACATTAAAAAGTCATAAACACACTGCCTAAATCTATAATCATACTTCCCTGCCTCTTTTGTTGTAACAATGTTGTCACTGTCTTCACTGTCTTCCTTAGAATCTGCCTGTTCCACTGCTTCGTTTTCCCAGTATTTACTTCGATCTGTCTCCTCTTGCAGTCTGGTTTTTACATAGTCTAATTCACTGCTAATCTTCTTTTGGATTTCACAAAACTGTTCTTTCGATTGCTTGTTCCTCTTTTCCAAATCAGTGATTTTTTTCTCAGATTGCTTCAGTTTGCTTTCTAATATTCCTTTGGCAATTGTCAGTTCCTTTATTTCTTCCTCGTGTTTTGCTTTAATTGACATTTCCTTTTTCCTGTGCCGCATTTCC